TCCGCGGCGACGAAATACACATCCGCAGACTAGGGTGACCAATTCTTAATCAATCAATTTCGGGATATAAATCGGCATTTTTTATTGTATAATTTTAATTTTGGAACATAATATGATTGTAATATTGCATATTATTTTTTAATATAAATAATCATTAATTTGAAACTAAGCTGATAAATTCTTAGAATAAAATCAACGTAAAGTTTTTTATTATACAAAATACAAATTTACATATTAACATAATACATTTATATCACATTTTAGTATGATCTATTATTGTTTCATATTATTTAATGTTATGTGTGAAAAATCGGAACAATTTTTTGTCCCGCATAAGGTTCTTTCGGAACGCTAATGAGAGTCGAAAATCGGGACATCCCGGAAAATTCTATTGGCCCTAATAATCGAGATTCTGCCGACTGATGTTTTTTTAAATGAAAACCGAGCACGCGGAAGAGAAGAGTATCGATGTGAAGAGGACAACAACAAACACGCACGCGGATACGAATTTACGGGCGCGGAATCTCTACGGATCGCTTTCGGGGAATTTTTTTTCGGCATCGCGCGTTATAACGGTAATTCCGCGCAGACTGTAATTGAAAGAGAGCAATACGGCGGCGGCGCTTAATTGCACTAGGTCGAAATGATCGAGAGAACGAGGGGATGGCTAGCGCGGGAGAACCCTCTCTACCGCGGCCTGTTCTTCGAAAGTCGTTTATAAGAGAGAGGGCCAGGAGAGGAGGTGACCCCCGATAACTCCGGGTCGGAGCCGAGGCTCCTAAGCTCCCATTATTCGTCGGGTTGGACCGAAATTGTCGATCGTTACGGAAGCGTGGATTTGCTTGCTCGCCTCTCTCTCCACTCGCCGGCGAACACACACGCATCGTACTTTTAACCCGGCAATTTACATTTGATATTTATAATTTAATCATTTTCGCGATGATTGTGCTCTCTCGGGTTCTCTCTTTCCCCGAGATATTACGGCGGCACGACGAGGTAACTTTCAGAGAGAAATATAAGTTGTAATTATTTTTATTTTAACACGCGCTGTCTCCCCCCAAAAAATATAAACTTTACACGTATGTATAATATTTCAGAATTTCGTTATTTCGTGTTGGTCGAGTATTTTAGATAACTCTGACAATTCGATAGTATTTAATGTGGATTAATATAATTTGTAAATTCACGAATATGTCTGCAATAAACAATGGGATGCTAAAATTCTAATACGCGTATGTCGCTTCCAGCACAATAAATAATCATATTATAATATAATTCATGCAAAAACACCCGCATAGAATTTGACATTAACATACTACATAATTGCAACATTAACATACATTTCTGATGCAATATAATGATGACGTGTGACAAATGCAACCCGTAGACACAATACAAACTATCTACATATATTTGACATAAACTCAAATTGAACGTTACGTATAAAATTAATTTTAAAAACAATCCATAAAATTGCTAGATTAAAAAACAGTCACCACAAAATATTTATGGCAATGTGATGCTACAGAAAAATCTATATTTGTAGCAATAACGGAGATTGCGTGATATGTATTGTCGTTTCTGGACAAAGGTAACCGAGAAAGTAAGACGAGGGGCACGGTAAGAAAATTATAACGCGAGTGACGGGACAACATCCGCAAAAAAGCCATATTTATGACGTAAGTGTATGTATCTCCCTTGCGGCTGAGAGAATAAGAAGGATGTAGCGCCGCGCTCTCATATCCTTGTGCAATTCGCGGAGAATCGCATTACAAGAGTAGTCGTTCAGCGACACGTTACATAGTAGTACGCACAAAATGACCATGATTACGAGGGTAATATGAAGTGTCGCCTTAAGATGTTGATTAATTAAAAGCATATTCCGATCGTTAGATTTTTTGCGCATATACTTATGTAAAACTTGATCTTATTTTTGATCGATCTTTTTACGTAAAGTCATAAAAAATCTAAAGTATCATAATATATCATTTCTCTTCAATATTCTGATTTTTCGAGAAATTATAAATTCAAATCAGAAAAGCAGAATTATAAATTGTTTTTTCCCAGTGAGTTTCGACAGTTTATTTAATTGACTAAACTGTAAAAAAAATTTGTTAACTTGACTAAACCTTTCGACTAAATATTATTTTGTTAATTGAACATATAAAAATATTTAAATTAAATGTAACATATTATATCTAACAAAACGTATATTTGGCTTAAATACTAATATATGTTCAATTAACAAAATAGCTATTTAGTTGAAAGGTTTTAGTCAAGTTAACAAATTTTTTTACAGTGTAGTAAAAAATAAATTCAAATATATATTCATCTGTAATTAAAGTTTGACATGTGAACTAAATGCCACTTTTATAAGGTGCTTCTACAAAGAACAAGTCTAATTTCGTTTAAAGAGCGAACATCGTATAAGAAAGTAACGAGGGAGCTTTTTATCGCGTCAATATTCTAAGGGCACAGATAATTTAATAAACCGCATCGAATGAATCATTGCTTTTCTCGCATCTATTTATCTAATCGCTCCACTTACAACAGTGTGCCACTGCTGGTTTGTAATATATGTAATTAATATATAATCGCTTTTTTATGCATAGAATATTGAGGCCAACGCGCGATTCTGATGAATATAAAAATCATTCTATAATAAATAAATCTGATCATATAATTTATATTCAAGGTTATTTTATATAAGTTATTATGTCAGGATATACTAATATATCGGCGAATAAGATATCAGAAATAAAATTAAATTACATATTTCTCTTTCTCTCAAGTCGAATATATATATTATGCATAAAATAGTTTTGCCCATACATGTAAAAATAATAAAAAATCTGAGTCGAGAAAATTTTTAAAAATTATATAATTAAAATGAATATAGATCTGACTTCTTTTTAGGAAAACTGATTTAAAATAATTTTCGCATACACACATTTAAATGTATATTATTAATTGAAAGTAAAATATATTTTTCAAATATAATTATTCTTTAATCGACGTTTACAATTTTATCTATCGCTCGCATATGTTTGAATAAAATTCATAGCGATGGAAAATAAATGCGATGATAATAAGATTCATTCGTTTTTACGTTATCACTATGCTTAACCGGCTTTGTATCACTGATCGTTGTACAAGGCGGAAGACTGCGAGATGAAAACACGTACGTGAGAACGGCCTCGCGTCGCAGATGCTGCATTACGCACGATAGCACCTTGTACGATGATGCAACAAGAGGTATAAACTGTGAACACTCGAAAGGAGCTAACGCGGCAGATCTCTGAGATCGTCGTGATCTATAATGATCGAGGCCAGTATGGTGAAATCTCGCATTGTATATACACATACGCATATATACAATATACACTCTCTTGCAAATCGACTTCCGACACACGATCGCGACGTATCAGCGGATCTTATTTAAATCATAACGAGATGTCATTCACAGCTCGAGCGCATAGGTGTGCTTCCTATTACATTACTCTATTACATCATGTCAAATGGAGCAAAGATATATAAAATTACAACTAATATACCAGTCATCGACTGACATTCATCCCGCCCGTAATTCGTTTCAGCACACACGCTGTAATTATAATGCACGTCTCGCATGCGTTATAACGAGACAATTATAGCTTTGTTTTAAGTGAACCATTAAATGCAATAAATTAAGGCGTCGTAAATCGTGTGACGTTAGATTTACAGCAATTAATTTTTCTTTTCGACACAACTTCGTTGCAAGTGCAATAAAAGGAAAGAGCTTATATTGATTCAAGCTACACACGTTTATACTACCCCGCGAGCGGAAAAATATCTAGTGTGTAAATGCGTAATAAGAGAAGCTTCAATTGTGCACAAATACATCGTAATGGCCGCGCCTGTCGCAACTGTTTATTTTTACGAATGGTGCATGTGGCCCCGGGATATGTGTATATATATGCACGCTGCACTGCGCGCTTGCATCACCTGTTCGAGAATACCACTTGTATATCGCCGCATTGACTTTTTCCCTCGATCTCGCTCGTTATTGTCGAGGTTCGAGAACGGGACATTTTTTTCCCACTCGACTTGTTAAAAAGTTGAAACTTTTTCATGACGATCGATCGATCGATCGATCGGCCGGGAAAGAGAGAGAGAGAGAAAAGAAAATGACAGCATTGTAAAATGTTAACGCAATGTAATCTTGTGTCTTAACGACCGCGGAAACCGCCGTTCGCAAGGAGTAAAAAGTACACGTTCGCGTTGATTATGAGTACAAATAGCACTAACGATCTTCTCGCATGCCGTGCTTTCTATATGGCTCTTAAATACTGACTTAAATGTCTGCGTTAAAAGTTATTGCAATAAGTGCGGAATTTACATTGCTAATAAGTTGCGTGTAACGTGTGATATTGGAGATAATGTTTCAGTTATTTTAATATACATGTGTTAATAAAATCACTTGTTTTAAAACATGTTCGATTTTTAATTTCTTTTTTTACGTACACGGAGAGAATTTTCTCTGAAAATCATGGCAATCGTGAGACAATATGATATTGGAAGAAATAAATATTAATAAGTACTTATAAATTTTATTATGCACATGATAAAATTAATCGAACATATTTTAATATTTTTACCAATTGTTACGGCAAATATTAATCAGAGAAACTCTTACAAAATTCTTCCAATACTATATATTATCTCACGATTACTATTATATAATTTTCATAGTAAATTCTAAAAGAAAATTCTCTCGGTGTATGTTGTAATATTTTCCTCTACCCCTGTATTGATAAAACTTCAACTTGCATAATTTGCTGCATGTATATTTTTCTCTCTGTCTTTTCTCTACTTAAATTTATTCTAAAATTGATTCGTTGATATTTGCACGATTTAAAGGCGCGTCTTAAAAAGTTTAAAGACGCAGTCTATTATATGCTTTAAATGAGATCCCTTTAAATCAAGAGTTCTCTAGCGAATAAGAGAAGAAAGGTGCTTACCTGTATAAGGTGGGCAAGGAACAGGACGTAGGCGGCGGCCGCCCTCATGTCTCTCCCTGGGGAATCCCCTCGACTACCGCATATCACCGATATCCCCGCGCCGTTCCTCGGCCTCTTCCCGGAAGCACTCCTTCCTCAAGGTGTCCTCTTGTATCCCTCGTTCTCTTTCTCTCACCACTCTCACCGAATTTATTTTGATCGATCGCTTTTATCGGCACACTGCACACCGTAGATCCATCCGGTCCGCGCACCAAATAAATACACCGAATATCCACTGGATCCAAGTGTTCAAAAGGGATTTTTCTCGTCGTTCTAGAAACACTGAACACTCGACACTGTTGTTGTTAACCGGAGAATTCGCGTCCTCGTAAGGATCTAGAGGATCCTCGTCACAGAAGCGACGTTCGAGGAAAAACGAGGTTAGAGGCTCCACCACCTTCGCGACACAAGTGTACCTTTCGAATAACTCGTGTGACTACTTTACGATGTAATCTTCATGAGATATAAGATCTTCTTTTTCTTTCTTCGTGTATTTTCCTTCCTTGGTTCGCTCGAGCGGCTGTCTTTTTTTTTTTTGCGCGCGAAGCTATTAGTGAATGGCGTCACTTCGCTTCACTTCGTTTCCACAAATTCCGATTGACGGGATATTATTCGAAGAAGCTCGGGCTCGTGTCGAATTCGTTTGACGAGGAGAAAGCGACGACGCGCGCGAAAGTTTGACTCGGCACCTGCTTTTCTCGACTCGAGGCACGAGCCACGACGTGTCCAGCACGTGTTCCGCGTATCGGGGCGATCCGAGTTCATAGAAATCGGAGAAGCATCGATAACGTCGCGTATATTCTTCTTCCTTTCTTGTCAGACGCGCGCAATTTACGATCGGATCCGATTACTGCTTCTTTTTCGATCCTTCAATCTTCAGACATGTCGTAAGACGTGAAGATGTACGATAACGCGAAGCTCTCGAGCTATCGAATGACTTCACTCGAATGTAGCAATCCTCGAGATGCGCGGAGGGACAACTTCACTCCGTTTCTTGATTAAGCAAAATCCGTTCACTCACACGCGAATAACCAAATCCCTGCAGTCCTCTCCGGAGAAGCTGGGTTTCTTCTTTTTGACACTTTGCGCACACGCGTTTGCTGTTCCGCGGCCGCGTTCCGTTTGAGCTGCCGCGACGAACAGGTGTATGCACGTGTCTGGCGAACGGCGGGAACGTAATGTCGCGACTTGTATGTGTGTACGTGTATGTGGAAACGTCGCGCTGTTTCGACACTTACGCATGTGTGTATGTGTGTGTGTGTGTGTGCGCGCGCGCGTTTGTCTGGAACCGCTTCCACTGTATCGTACGCGCACGCTGGAGCGCGGAAACGCAGCAACCTTCACGAGATACACGAGTCGGTCGCTCCGGGGATACTGAGTCAAAGCCGCAGGCCGGCCTGCGGGCCTCCCCCCTCCCTCGCGCGCATCCCCCTCCTCCGGCCACGCCAACCCCTTCCCGCAGTCATTCCACCTCCGGGAGCCGAGCGCGGAGGATCTCTCCCCTTACGTTCGTCCCGCGCTGAGCCTCGCATCCTCGTGGAGAGTCCTCTCTTTCTTCAACTCCCGCATCGCGTTGTATACACACACCGTTCACCAACCGGCCTCGTTCCTTATCTCTCCTCTTGCCTGGAACTCCTTTGTCTCTCTCTTGCTCTCTCCTTCTTATGTGATCTCGCATGTACATCTCTTGTACGTGTATCAGGATCCGCGTAGGTGTGTGTGCGTGTCGCGAACATCTCGAGGGCTCTTTGCTCTCTCTTGCCTTTCTATGAGGCATTACACGACGACGACGAACGTACACTTGTGCCCCTCGCGCCGGGATGCTGGGGCCCGAGCTGAAACACGAACGGCCGAGCTTATATACAGTTTCTTACAATCGGTTTCATCACGAGCGGCGAGTCGGTTGTGTATTCTCACCTCTTCTCTCGCGAGATCCAGGCGAGAACGCGTGGCTTACTCGGAGCGTGTGCACCGACCGACCCCTCGTGATATGAATTTCGCGGGGCAGAGATGAGCGCGAGGAGGTTGCGGTCGAGGAGTCAAGGATTGCATCACCGCTGCATCCTCGGGAGTGATACGAATTTCGTTGATGCTGCGAGGAACGAAATTGATGAGCGCAATGAAGGTCATCGATTCTGATTTGCATTGGGATAATTAGTATGCGAATCTGACGTTTCTCATCTATGAGGCGTGATACATATTATATATTAATATTACATAATAATATATATATATATATAATATATAATGTACAATATAATACACGGAGAGAATTTTCTTTTAGAATTTACCCTGATAATCATGGTAATTCCGGGACAATATGATTGGAAGAATTTTATAAGAGTTTCTCTAATTAATATTTACCACAATAAAAATATTAAAATCAATCTTGTAAGAAAAGGGCAATAAGCCGTAGCAAGAACTTAGCGCTCTTAATTCATTTATTCATTTAGAATCTAAATTGATCCTAAATGAATAAATTAATTAAGAGCACGAAGGATCAATTTTGATTTTAAATTAAGAGCGTAAAATTGCCCTTTTTTACACGATTGATTTTAATCATTAGAGCCTTGTGATTTATATAAAAAATATTAATATGTACAATGTAAATAAATTTTAGTACATTAAAATTAATCGAACATATTTTATATCTTATTGTGATAGATATCAATATTTTTTATTTGTAGTATAATCTTAATCTAAGAAACTTTAATAAAATTCTTCCAATACCACATTATCTCACGATTACCATGATTTTCAGAGTAAATTCTATAATAGAAAACTTTCTGGATATAATACTGCCAAAAGTATAAAACAGCCATTCTTAATTGCAATAATAATTAAACCGAATAGAATTATGAAATAAAAAAATCGTTTTTTATTGAATTTCTTCAAATAAATATGAATTTTTTTATTTCACAACTCTATTTTATTTAATTCTTGTTATGCAATTAAGAATGGGTGTTTTTTACATTTTTGATCAAGCTGTACATGTATATGTATGCACTTTACACGTTGTAATTTTAAATACGAATAAAACGTGTTTATTATACGCCTGGGAGTTACGAGCTTCATGAGATACCATCAGACCCGTACATTAATCAATTAATTAATTAAACAAGACTGGCAAAACATTGTGTACGCGATAATAACGGAATTATGGGAATAAGAGAAGAGAAGCGTTTATATTTAAAAAATCGTAAATAGAAAGTAAATGAGAAATATTAGTCAGATTAAAATTTACACGCGCACACACACACAAATGTTCTAAGGCTAATCTATATATGTTGTTTTTTAAATATCAAATAATTTACAATTAGAAAATTATATAAAACATATACTGATATAAAACATAAATAATAAAATTCCTTCTTCAAAAAATTAATGCCTGGTCCTTTGAGATATTTTGTCTATATTTTTTTCTCGATTGGAAAAATGATACAAAGAATCGCGAGGGACAGCGAATTGTGTGCAATTCGAGGATTTACACAAAGTATCCGACAGATTATTCTTGGCAAATTGGTCATTTCTTTTCACGGAGATAAGAGAACGTTTAAATGTCGCTAATAATTCTCGTCGTATTTGAGGGCTCGACTATGTGCATCGGAACGAAAGGTGAGTTCCCGGTAGGCCACTACTCCGGCTGGTAGGACGAAATTATATGTATTCACAAAGAATGATTTTGGACGATGAATAATGGATAAGTCCTGTCGCGTGTCCACCGTCATTATGTAGCTAGCGGGCCATCTCTTCGAAGAAGGACAGAGAAAAAAATGAAAGAGAGAGAGAGAGAGAGATGCTGCGGATCGTCATTGAATTTCTGCCCCATATACACATACAGCATATACCGTTCCACGTAATTCGCGTGTCAAGAGTATCGTGCGAACTGAGAAGCCGAGCCGAGAGTTAAACGGCTATAAATTATCGTCGCAATGAGAAACCTCTTTGCTGATCTCCTTTCAGGAACTACATAATAACGATGCGTGTCACCTTTATGTGACGCGGCGTCTGGTAATCGGAAAATTATAAACGGCCGCGGATTATCGGGTGATTCTGCATCTTGCGCCTCAGGAAATGGAACGTTACAATCAAGTATTTATAACGTTACGATAGACTGAAAGGATGACTTCATTATCTTTTTTTTTTTTTAATTTTAAACCACTTGTTATTTCCATGCAAAAGATTAAACATGTTGTCTTCCTCTATTATTAGCTTGCAGGAATTTTTGCAAATAAAAGTAAACGCACGGTAATACGCTCAGCAATTTGACAATTTGATTAGAAGCCGCGGATAAGAAGATTAAACAGAGGAATTGTGAAAAAAATAAGACAAATCGCGCTTATTTACTTTCTATAAACAGATAATCATCGATAATAATTTTTTTAGTAAAATATGAAAATAAATAAAAATATGAAAAATATGATAATATTGAAAATAAAATAATATATATATATTTGTATGGAAGAACATAACAGTTATATTTAATGAGATTAAGTTAATTAACATTCGAGGGGTTTAATCTTGGAAATAAAATTTGCCGACGCTCGCGTCAGTATCGATTCGCACAATGATTACGAAGGCGGCGTGGCTCATCTCGTGGCTGAAAGAGCCTGTAACGGACGGTGTAGCGCAACGCGGCGGGGTCATATCTATTCTCTCTTTCTGTTCGGCAGTAGTCTCTCGGATCCGACGACACACACGAACCCGGTGTGGTAGCGTAGTAGTACGGTGTACCACATGGGCGGATGGACGGACATCGGTAGTGGGATGCTGCTTGGTCCACCACGTTTACCGTCGTCTTCCTTCTCTCTCCCGTTCACCGGGCAATCTCTGCTTTCGTCTGCCATATCCTTCGTCCTCTTCTAGCCACCTCGAGGTTCTCCGTTTCTCATCTTGGAGGACTCGAGGGCCCCGAGTTAGCCGGCGGGCATTATGGTGGCTACTCCGTTGGCTTCTCGCGTCTCTCGAAAGCTCACAAGAGAGTGTGCCCCCCCGAGGGTCAAGGAACTCCCTCGGGAACAGGTTCACCTCCTTCTTCGCCTCTCTTCACCCCTTCTTCTCTCTCTCTCTTTCTCCCTTTCTCTCACTGCGCCGCGCAACGCTGCCAACCCGCCCTATGCCCCCTCCGGTTCGTATATACCTTAGAGTTTTACTTATTTTCTCTTATTACCGCCGTGGGCATGTAGGCACGTTTCACGCGCACATCCTCATCGTCCGAGCTCGTATACGTATATACACACGAGGTACGGTCCACCTCGGGGTCCACCGGACTCTCGTCGCCCTCGGTACTCCTTTCAGGTACTCCAATATGTGAGCACATTATTACAGAGGTGCAAGCGGGGAAAGACGGAGAGTCTTTCGCGAGGGAGCAAACAGGCGAAACGCACACGCGTTCTCCCGATGGATGAGGAAAACGCACGAGAGAGCGAGCGAGCGAGCGTATACACGCAAGGGTGTTTAGGTGCGGTTCCCTTCCCTCGACTCCTTCACCCGGAGGAGTCGAGCTCTCTGAGAGCCAGATACCAGATTCCACCTGTGCTGCCTGATATGCTGCCGTTGCTGCCGTGCTCATCCTCCTCTCGTCTCTTCCATGTCTTCTCCGTGTCGTGAGATCGTTTCGAATTTGCTGGATAGCTCGTCCTTTCCTCCTCTCTCTTTCTTATATATATATCTTTTATTTTTTATTTATTTTTTTTTAAATTCTCTCTCGCTCTCTTAAGAGTCCGGACCGAGGGATTATGGCGGACGAGAAATCGTGTAGATTTTTGGTACGCGCGTGAATCGACGGAAGAAATGCGATGGAAGAAATACAAGGGCTTGTAATAAGGGCATTTAAGTCCGCAGGTTCTCGCACCTCGCTTGATTCCCGCGATTCTCACACTCTTTCGCCAGTCCGTGCGTTCGTTAAGAGATCCTCACCTTGGTAATTCCAGCACATTCGGCTTCCTCGTACACGGCCTCGATCTCTCCCGTGAGAGATCCTTCCGAATTAGCCGGAGCGCTTTTAATAATCCGGCTGAAATCGCACGGAGGATTATGCGGGCCGGTCCAGAGATTCTGAATATTTTGATGCTGTTTGGTGAGAAATGAAAGAATCATAAAGTCGTCCCTTTTTTTTCGCTCGGTCGCTTTTCTCCTTATCAGATCATCTTTCGCCGGAATCCATTCCAGTTCCATCAGGATCGTTCGTTAGGTAAATGAACGGTACGCGTTATTATGTTTATGGTATTTATGCATTACGCGCGAAGGGCCTCTCGAAGAATTTTTTCGCGGCGGAATTCGCATAGCACGTGTGTGTCGCCGACAGGATTCTAGGCATATTATTCTCCTTGGTCTTCTATTTTCATTATTCATGAATTTAGCTTTCTGAAGGGCCTTTGCGAAAGCAGGAGGT